GCGCCCCGCCAGTCCCACCAGCACCGACAAGAGCTGGCTGCAGCGTCTGTAGGGCTCCTCCTCCTCCTCAGTCCTTTCAGAGGCAGGCGGCCTGGGGGTGCTGGGCGGGGCATCCCCTGGCAAGGAAACCCCAGGTCAGGATGCCAGGGCCAGCTGGCGGGGGGCACCCCGCCCCAGGGCAGCCTGGGAGTCCGGAGGCCTGTTACTTTGGGGGAAGGGGCACCCCAGGGCCGTGAACAGAGCGAGCCCAGGCAAGGGTCGGGGAGGGAGCCCAGGGGAAGCTGCCCCCGTTTCCAAAAGAGGGAGGCAGGAGAGACGGCGTGCCCGGTGTCACACCTGGCGAGACCCCAGCCCCGGCCCGGCTCCTCCCCAAGGCAGGATCTGCGGGGGGCTGTGGGCAGTAACCAGGTTGGGCAGGGAGCGCAGGTGCTGCTGCAGCCTCCCGTTGGGCAGCTTGGCTTTGAGGAGCGGCGCCAGGTGGCTGAAGACCCAGGCGTCCAGGGAAGCAGGGCTGCGGCACAGAGCACGGGCCTTAGTGGCGCGTGGCCCCTCAGCCCTGGGCACACGGGGCCCCGAAGTCCAGCCCCTCTGGGCCCCGGGTGGCAGGACTGAGCTGGGCCAAATTCGCCCCCATCCTTGGGGGGGAAAGGGGCGTGGCCGAGTCACCAAGCCCAGGCACCCCACCTCCTCCCCCAGGGCAGGCCAACGCCCGGGGCCTGGCAGAGCTCTGCTGCTCCGGCTTAGCCTTCAGCCCCGGCGCTGGGCCCTGCCTTCAGCCCCGGGCCCCAGCCCGTCCAACGCCGGCGCCCGGCCCCCGACCCAGCGCCCTGCAGGCTGCTGCTCCAGGCCCAGGGAGCAGAGGGGGGTAGGGGGAAGTCCAGCTACTCTGGCCAGGACTCTGCCAGCAGCCAGTGCCGGGGGGCTGCCCTGCCAACCCCTCTTGCGGGTGCTTGGGCCCCCAAGGCAGGAGGGAGCTTCTCCGCCGGCCCCTGAATCACGGTC